TACTTCTTTGGGTAAGCTCATAACTTTTGACTTCCTGTAATGACAGAGTAAACCACGACAGCATTCACTAAACTATGGGGGGTTTTCTGTTCTGGGTTAACTTATATTTATTTCTCTTCAAGGAAATATGTGGGTTTTCCTATTTTGGAAACATGTATAAAATAAGATAAAAATGACCAGAAGCATACATCAGTATCATCTTGGAAATCTAAAAATTATTATACTTTGTGAATTTGTTTCTCAGGAATACAAACTTTGAAGTAAAGAAAAAGATACTATTTTTGTCTTACTTACCTTACTGACAGGATCCTGCTGTTGTTCATTTTTAGCTGCACTAATCCAGGCAAGTAGACACCTGCAAGAAAATTAGTTAAACAAAACTATTTTTCTCATTTTCATGTAACACTGGTGTCATTTTAACATGGTTTCGTTCTTATCACCTGATTTATTTGCTAATCAGATGTTCAGCATCATTTAAGTAAAAGAAAGCGTCCCTGAAGTGGCAGGTAAAACATGACTCATACATGTACAGACAGTGTTTGTCATGCCTTACACAATCTAGGATTTTTTCTGAGGACAAAGCTCAGTCATAGTAAATATATCCCCCTACCATTATCTAATGATGGCTGGCACACCTGTGAGGTAATCAGGTGTGGAAATTTATGACTGTCTGCTCGTTCTGTGTTGTGATTATTACAAGTATCTGTTATGAATCATTACTGTAAATTGTGTTAACAGTTTCTCATTGCTCGTTAGTTTAACTGAACTTAAATGAGATAAAAGTTACTGTATTTTTGTAGCCTTGGCTACACAAAGAAAACAATAACACCACTGATGCTGACTAACAGTTAGTTCTAATAAGTACACATACAAACAGACACCTATTGTTTTACTGTTTTACATATTCAGCTGCAGTACTGTGCAAAAGTCTTGAGCCACTCCTCATTTGTTTGTATTTTGTCTTCAAGGAACCAGACTTTGTTGTATTTAATTATTCTTGAACAACAGGTCTCTAAGCTTTCTGAAGTTTTTCTTGGGACACTGGCTGCTTTTTTACTTATTTTCAGTACAGTCTTTGTACTTGATCATTTTCTTAGTTAAACTACTTAACACTGACCTATGAATCATTCAACAACTATAAAAGGTACCTAACTCAAGAGGTGAACCAGTTTTGTGTCTGCACACAACTTACACAACAGACAATTTAGAAAAGAACCAATTTTAATTTCTATATTTAGGGACTTTTTTACAAGCTGCCTGTCACAGTAACAATTCATTTGTTTAGTCGAGTCTACAAAAGATAACACAGTTTGACAGCCGCAAAATAACTACAGCAGAGGAACAGTATCAACAAGTCATGTATTTAAGAAATTAGGAAAAAAAATCCAGCAAAATTACACAAAAAAAATGGACTAAAAAATTAGTGGCAACAGATCTTGTGGAGTGATAAATACAAATTGGACATTTTTGGTTCAAGTCATCATCAATATATATGGAGACGGTCAAGAGAGAGGTAGAACAGTGAATGTCTACAGACATCTGTAAAACACAGTGTCATGGTTTGGAGCTGCATTTAAGCCAGTGAAAGACCAATATGGGCCAATTTTGATCACAATCTAAAAAGTGTTGTATTTGCAACAACTTCATGTTTAAGCATGCTAATGATCCCAAACACGCTGCCACTGCTGTAAAAGCATACCTGGATAGAAAAACATGCCATGGCCTCTCCAGAACACGGACTTCAACATTACCTAAGCAGTGTGGGATTGTGTTGACTGAGAACAGAACAAAACGCAGCCAAACTCCCAAGAAGAGCTTTGAAATCTCCTTCTAGAACCCTAAAGACTACTTAAAGAAATGACAAGAAAGCTTGCGTAAGAGAGTTGAGACTGTGTTGAAGAATAAAAGTGGTCATGCTAAATACTGACTTTGGTAGACCAAATCTTGTTAGATTATTACAAATGCTGATTATGGTGTATATTTGTGTACATTTGCACATACTTCAATGAATCACTGCACCTATTTCCCATATTTCTTGCAAAATATAACCGAATGAAGGGTGCCTCAAGACTTGCACAGTGCACAGTACTGTATTTAATCAGTGACATGTTATATGTCTTACCAAAGTTACCAAGTGTGTTTTCTTGAGTGTCTACACAGATCTCCAGTGAGGTCACATTAGAGAGGTCTTGTGTGCCACACAGCAATTTCTGTAGGAGGAGAATAAGAAGCTGACCTGGGCAGAAGGGCACTGTCTCTTTACTTTATGTAGTCTGTATCATTCTGTAGCTACGATTAACAAACATGACTTTGATTTGATGTAAAATCTTTGAAGAATTTTTTTTGCCCAATTTCAGTTTCAAACATAATCTTTTTAAGCAATAATCAAAGAGGATTTTAATTAGTATAAGAGACAACACTAACGGAATTATTTCAGTAAAATAGGCATTATAATACAGGCAAGATGTATATGGTAGATGTTATCCAGATGCTAACATTTACTATTGTCAATTTAGAATTATGCTAAACTAACTAAATGCTTTCACTAGTATATTATATATATAGTATATTATATTCGTATAAACAACATGATAAGAGGTTTATAACGGTGATAAATACTAACTGTATTTAAAGGTACCTACCAACTTCTCCGGGGAGAGATAAAATTCCACTGGTGTTTCAGAGTCCTCACAGGGTTTACTTGCAGGAGTTGGGTTGATGGAGCCTGAACCACTCAGCTCAGTCACCAGGACCCGTGCTGTACCAGACCTGACCCCGTGGGGCACAGACCCATGACAGTAACTCATGCCTCACGCTGTATAAAATAAACAATCATAAAGTTATATTGAAAACACCAAAACGGCTTGTGAAACAAAAGGGAAGCAGTGAGCAGTACCTTCTCTACAGCCAGATATTTTGAGTAGCGCTAAATAAAGCAGCATGTACCCTAGCTACATGCTGGTGTATACGGAAATATAATATTATATCTATAATAAGAATATATATCACCTTTTGCAGAATTTTCCCGTCTGTGTCACTAGATAGTCTATACATTTACATTCAAACCTGCAACTGAGGGCTCGCAAGCAAAAGTTTCCTTGGCAACCACAGACGACTTCCTGGATACGGCACAAACTGACCCCAAAGCCGCTGCATGAATTCCATTCAGCGGCTCTGGGGTCAGTTTGTGCAGTTAGACCCAGTTAGACCCGTGGCTCCCTGGGATATGTAGTACACTCCGGTATTTCTTATGGTTGGCACTTATCTAATCTATTATCCAGTAGTTACTGGATAATATTCAGTCGATATTGATGAGATCAATCCAGGACTGATAACGTTTTCTTGTGCCTTTCTTTTTTATTTAAATATTTTTTTTGTGTGCACTAGCAGTCTGTTTGGGATCATCAGAATGCTGAAAAATGAAGCTGTTCCCAATCAGACGATTTAGTGGATCAAAATATAACAGAACCTTTCTACATTCATAATAATAATAATAATAATAATAATAATAATAATAATAATAATAATAATAATAATAATAATAATAATAAGAAGAAGAAGAAGAAGAAGAAGAAGAAGAAGAAGTCGTTTCATCTCAACATAAGATCTGTTTCCATTGATTTTCAGCCCAGTTCTTGTGTAATTTGGCATACTCCAACCCCCCCCTGTTTCCCTTCATGACAGCCACTGAGAACATTTCTGATGAAGATTCAGCAAACAGTAGATTGATCAACTGAAGGACAAGATACATCTCTTAGGTCCTGTGTCGGGTCTTTCTTTCTGTTGATTAGCTGTAAATCGTTTTATGCCTGACACATTTTTTATTGTCCTCCACTGCCCCAGATTGCCCAGATTTTTTAAGGGCACACTGCACAGTATTAACGATTTTCCAAGTTTTCAGCAAACAGTTCTTTGGGAAACATCAAACACTGCGTTAAACATGTGTTATCTTTGACATTTGTCATACATACAACTAAAGAAAATGATGCTAGTAACAAAGAGACTAAAAATACCAATTTAAATAATGTTTAGACACAACGCTGATTCATGCCTCGAGTGAGGTACATTTCTTATACTTGAATGATTCATACAGTCAGTGTTAGTGAGCGTTTGAACAAAAAAATATTCCTCAAAAGCATTTGGGTTATGTCTACAACAAGTCTTCAGCCTTGGTCAAGCACATGGACTGGGCTACAAAATGAGTACAAAAAAATCAGTCAGTGTCCAAAGAAAATTGTTGAAACCGTCAGAAAGACTAGAGAACTAAAAGAAGAAAGTCTGGATGAGGAGGGGGGGGAAAATTACAGAAAGGATCAGAGCACAAGCATAAAACCACAATGAGTGGCCAGCTGTTGCACTTGCATGGAATAAAAAAAAAAATCCCAGCACCTGGAACAGAAAAATATGAAAAAAAAACATACAGTTAAAAAAAAATCAACAATCCTGAATAATTAATCTGTGAAATTGAATATGAAGAGGTTAGAAACATTACTACTTGGAGTGGACCAATAACGGTATTTGTTTCAAAATTACATCCTACTGAGTTGTAACTACTGAAACAAAAAGTGTTACAATCACGCCTGCTCTCCCCTACCACATAATTTCGACATTACCTTTATAACTATCACCGGTTCCCAACCTTGAGTCATCACATAGAAAAACAATCATAATGTCTGGGAAGTTTTGGTGATTTAGTTTATTCGTGCTAGTCATCTGTTTGGGTGGCACTTACTTTTCAGAGTGGCGAAGGGTTATGCTGGGTAGAGATGGATAATAGTAATTTTTTAAAAAGACAGCGTTCCTGTTTGTCAAACGAATTAACTTGGCATTCATGACTTTCAGGTTTTTGCATGAATTAAGATTTACGTGCCTCTTTAAATACTCGGATTTAGCGTTTAAATGTGTAGGTCCAGTGGCCTTCACAGTGGAGTTGCCAAAAATCCGACAGCACAAGAACGCCACTGTAACATGCTTGGTAACCGGGGCGGATCTATGTTTGATAGAGCTGGGCGTGGGCACTACTCTCCTCATCCCCTCCGCTCTCTCTGGGAAGCACATTGTTCAACGCGGGCACATTATAGGACCCAGGACCAATGAATGCCTTGGTGCAGTTTAGCTACTTAAAATTACACCGTTTCTTACAGTGAATAGGACGCAAATACCTGAAGAAACGGGGAAAGAGACTCGGAATATTTTGTGGCTTTTTTCCGATTTCAGCGGAGAAGCAAAACAATTGAAAGATTTTCTTCTTCCTCTCCGGTAGAAACGCCGCTCCTGTCGCCAATAGACCTCTGCCTGTTGTAAGTATACTGTACACATCCTTGCTTACGAAAAATGTCGGGGTTTTTTTCCCCTCACCGAGAAATATGTCCTCTCTTAAGTGCTTTCAGTGTTTTGGGCACCGCTGGAGATTGCGGTCCTTACAGAAAAACAGGTTAGCTAGCTATCATAACATTTTTTAATTCACGCCCGGCGAGCTTGAACATTATCCTGCTTAGAACTCAGCCTTCTTTCTACCCTGCCTACATAGAATGATTTTTCTTCCCAGCCCCTGACTGTTTTAAGCCAATTATAGATTTTTTGGTAAGCGGTCTTCCTTGAGTTTGGGTGTTAAAACTTGGTTATAAAGGGATAACATGACCATCCAGGATTTCCCCCGCTTTACCTCACTTTGAAAGAGAAACCGAAGACATTTGCAAGTGCCATTGCAATAGATGCTAATGTACCTCTGTCTTTTGTATTGTATAAGGAAAAGACTGGAGCAGGCTGTGAGGTTGCTGGTCTCGATAGTGGCGTCAGAGACAACTAGGGTGACGCCCCGTCACAGTGAATAAAAGCTATCACTGCGGAAGTGAGATTCCATTACAAGGCATTCACAAAGATGATCATTTCAAGTCTCGTATCTGATAAAAAAAAAAGGCTAGTAAGGTGAAAGGGATTTACAAAGACAGCACCAAACACTCAGCGAATGGCCATAGAAGCTCCTGGACAGTAAACAATTAAATGCACTCAGCATTCAAAGTAGTATCAAACATTTGAATGAGTGCACTCTTAGGCAATACAACAGAAAGTGTTTCACTCGTGTGTTTTTCTTGGGGCTTTCCGGTACACGGTTTCTTTTTTTAATCCGCCACATCGTCACGTTCGCTGACCACAGCATCTTCTGTGAAAGTCATAATCATGCAAGTGAATGTGCATCAGTCTATATGACTACGAGAAGGAGGCTTTGCAGCGATTCTGTGTGAGTAAATATTGGTGTTGGTGTCTGTAGCGTTTTGGCAAGTCAGCTGGAAAACAGTTGGAGGTGGTCCAGTGATTGAGGTGTGAGGTCAATGTGTCTTCGTTTTTTCTTTGAAGGTTTTTATGCAGCCAAGCAGTAAGTGTGACTCTAAAAACCAAGATTTTACGAATAACACCGTTCCCTGCTGGGTTTTAGTATTGATGTGTGTGTGGGGGGGGTTGAATGGACATTAGGTGTTTTTATGTGACCCAGAAGATGCTTTCTTTGCTTTCACATTGTTTCATGAACTAAAACAACTCATTGAGATTTACCCAGAGCCCACATTTAGAGTTTTGGGGGTGTTAGGTGTCTAATGATAACCCTTGCAGCTCCTCCAACCGGCAGGCTTTTGTGTGGAGGTCAGCTGCTCTTTTTATCTCTGCTGCTGCCTCCACTGTGTCACCCTGTCCTACAAACTAAAAGGATGACCCAGTAGGGAAAAGGTCACTAGAGGCTAGTGGCTTTCAGAACAGCTAAAAGGCCTCTTTAGATAGTGAAACATTTAGAAATTTGGAAAGAAATGGTTTATTAAAAGAACCAAATTCAGCTTTGTGTTAAATTCTAGAGAAAAGAGTAAAAACTTTTAACTATGTTGTAGTCAGTTTGACCCTCCTACCAACTTCATAAAATCTGAACCAATGTCTTCACGTAATTGTGTTTCACTGGCCTGAGAGCAGAATAGCGCTTCATTCCTAAGCTGGTGGAAAACACTTAGTGTTTTGGATGCTGTTTAGAAGAATGATGTCACTGGAAAGCAGAGGGTGGGGTGGTTATCGAGACTTTAGGATGGGTCTCGGAGTCTCCGTATTTGACCGTGACACCTCCCTTGAGAGGGTCTCCTTACCATCATAGCTCCATTAAAAATCTATTATCTCTGCAGTGGGCTTGTGGCTCTGCCAGTATGGAGCCTTTAACCAATTAAGCACTTAAATGGAGACCAGAGTGCATGTTGAGGAAGATGGTCATCCATGTACCTAGCTCCTTGTGTCACGTGTGTTGAGAAGATGAAAAAGATGCAATGAAGTTTGGCTTGGAGGATTTTCATTATGTTTAATATTTTTCACTTTCTTGCTAGACTCTTCTCTTCTGTGTTTGTTATGCCCTTGGTATATATAGAGAGCAGTCTTCTCCCTTGCCAATGAACTCTCCTGCTACCATCTGAATTGCTGCTCTTTGCTTGCACCCTCCGTAAGCTGTCATGTAAGATTATCCTTTTGGTCCAGGCGAGGCTCTAGGGTTTCAAAATGGACTGTTAATTTCAGACCGGCGGTGGTGCACTATAAATAACCCTAAACTCAAACATGCTAAATAGTGGCCCTTGATCATATTAGAGAGCTGCTCTACAAAGGTTTTGGGAACTTTGGAATGAGATAGGTGCGGCCTGTGTGACAGCTGTGGCAGATTCATTACTGTTTTTTGTTGAATGACTAACAAAAGTCACCCTGCTGTAGGATAATTACTTTGGTCACATGTACACCGTGTGTAAAAAGGACACAGACAATTGCCACATCATGAATGCAAGTTTTCACATGTGTGCAAATAAAGGTAGCAGAGTTTAACCATACGCTGAGAGCAACTCCACTCGGGATTGCAGAGGAGAAGATGGGGATATATTGTGTTTGATACAGCTATACCCAACATACCCATCTGTGTGTAGAGGAGAGCTCAGACAAAACACTCTTTTGCTTAGTCCCTGAGTGTGAATGAAATTGATGCAAGTACTAATGATTTTGACCTCCAGAGGCTGTGTCCTCGTCTTTCCTCTCTATCTACACAAAGACCCGCTCAGTATGAGCCCCTCCTGACAACAAGTGGCTGTAGAAATGCAGCACTGTCTGTGTCAGTGACTGATTTTGCTATTCATCTCCATATGTATATGAGGATTATTAATCAGCAGCTGACATGGCCTAGTTTGAGAGAAGACGGCTGTCTGCTTTCCCTCCTCTGAACTCCCAGTAGCGATGCATGGATGTCTTGAATTTGCATTTTTTAGGCTGTAAATATCACTGGCTTGGCAGGTGTACACTAGAGATCTGGTTATGTAGAAAAAATGCTGTAACCACGTGTGTTAAATGTTGAAGAACTGTGTATGATGCTGTACTTGATAATGTAGCTATCAATCTTTTTTTGATTTTGTTTGGCCTACATTCTTCGTACTAATCAGTTCAGCGCACGAGTTATCACTGCCATATTGATGAATATCAGGTAAAAAGGAGGCATTTCATGCATATTTCTGTGTGAATCTCTCATAGGCTTTGGCAACATTTCATCTTTTCGAAAAAATCTCAACCCAGAATGATTTCGCTTCTCTTATTTCAACAGTTTTAGTGCTGTGACGCCATCTAGCTCTTTCAGGCTTGAGTTTCCCTACTGGCTAACTGACCAGGCCGCTACTGCCACAAATAGAATCCAATTCTGTGAAAAACAGTGCTTTTATTGTTAATTGTGAGGCAGCGAGTGAAGATAAGATGCACAAGTGCTCACCAGTGAGGCTTGTGGCATCTGATCAATCTCTGATTAACAATAATGTTTAGATGTGACAAAACAGAGCAAATATGTGGAACAGCTGACCAACAGTATGGTTGAGTATTCAGTTTTAGTCATCAAGTGTTTCATCCTGTATGATGACATATTGGTCATCCTGCCATCCTGAACATTTTATCTTGTGTCCACACTAAACGTGAAATAACTGCCGATGAGTCTGTTATTGTTGATCCTTGCCCTGTCTGGAGTTTCAGCAGCCAAAGGTGTTCCAGCGTCTGCCTGCCCCACACAAGTCTCTGTTCGCCACACAGCTGCTGTTTATTTAGTTAGAGGGGGCTCTAAAGAGCTAGACTGGCTCTGCTACTCCACCAGAGTCTGCAGTCCAGCCAGGGCAGGCTGCACTGTGTACCAGGCTGATTTATTTACACTGAGGGAAAAGGAAGCTAAATGTTTAACCACAAGTTTGAGGGGTCAGTATAATTCCCTTCCTGTTGTGTTTCAGAATTATAGCAGCGAGGGTGTTTTGACAAGGAGGTCGTTGTTGGTAATGGTGATGGTGCTCAGAGCTACCTGTTCCGTTAAGGTGAAGCAGTGGCTTACGGGATGCAGGAGTGTGTGCGTTTGTGTGCTTGCGTATCATGGTGATTGAATGAGAGCAGTTAAATGACTGTGTCCTCAACTTAGCAAGTCTGGTTGTCTCTCAATCATTAACATTATTGCAGTCTTGGTTAATCTTAGTTTGTCCTAACGGCACAGGCACATACAGCCTCAGACACAAATAACCCAAACAGGACTTTTTTTCTTTCTTTCTGAGAATGCAGATTCTATTAATACAACACCACACCCAGAGACAAATATAGAACGTCTGTTATTTTTTTCCCTCTCCACAGCTAAATTGACCTTATATGTTTCATTTTCTTTTGAAATTCTGTGTCTTGTCCGGTTATTGAACTGACCACGGGCTGTGTTTATGACAGGCCACCTGTTACTTCTCTCTTTATACTGTTAGAGTTCAAGATTCACCCCAGCTATTGCTTCTACTTTCATTCCTTTGGGAGTCAAAGCACAAGAGAGAGGGCGTGAGTGTTTACCGCTCAGGTCAACTGAAGCCCTGATGTTTACACTCTTAAGCGCGCAAGTAGTTTGTGTAGCAGCTATAACAAAGAGTGCGTTTTATATGAGGGATGACACACGGCTCCCTGCGGAAGGTAAAAGAGCATATGTGAACTGTGCTGCTCATGAAATCCTGACAGATTGATTATACACTGCAGCAGGTGGTGCAGGTTAATGATTTTCCTCTTCAGGACCATTCAGCAAAGTGAGACACTATTAATGAGCATGTGGAGATGTTTAACCCACATGTGCCCGTCTTTTATGCTAAATGAGACATAGTTTAAACTTTTGAGGAAGAGAGATTTAGGGTTACACTGGGTGTTAAGTAAAGTTAGTGTTAATAGTGAACCGTTTTGTTTAGGAGGACTTATAATATACGAGTTTTCACCTTGAATATTTATCAGAGTCATTTTGCATTAGTCACGGTTCAAAATGAGTCTTATTTGTCTCATGCTGGGGGGCTCACTGTCTGAAACAAGCTGTTTTAGCTGCTCTCCCTTTAAGGTCACCCTCCCTTTTTTTTGAACCAGCCCATATTATATATAGACTGTATATACACTTTAAATTCATTGTATAGTACAATTATGACAACCGAGGCTTTGCTGTTTGAAAGACAGATATTTGACGTAGAGGTGGCGTCTAGAGGTTGTTGGTCTAAATTGTCAAACAGAAAGTGAAACTATGCTTCTGTTAAGACACATGGCTTTCTATCATTTATAACTGTTCTCAGTTACTCTTAGGTCTTTAACCAGATATGATATCATTATTATTCCACTCATTATTACTACAATGTCAAACTGTAACCATAGTAGAGTCCTGTAGTTACAATGGGCCTCCAGCACACTTGTTGTTAGTCATAGATTTGTAGCCGATTTAATGTTATAAAACCAGCACAACAAGTTCATATCAGTCAGTAATAAATCTAACTCATCATGTCTTCTACTCATATTGCATATTTGGTGAGTTTGTGGTCAGCTGTCCATACAATGAGTCTCACTTTGCCACAGAACATAACAGAAAAACCATATGACTACTTTCTCTTTAACACTGGAATTTTACTGGCCAGCAACGCTGTGGTGGGGGAAGATGACCTGTGGGTACGTGTCTTTGCACTGGTTTGTGTCTGTACATGAATATTTGCAGCTTCACCTAGTTTGGTGGTGAAATGAGCAAAATTGTAATATACGAAGTTTTCCCACATTTTGAAGCATGCAAAAATCTATTACACTGGAAAAATATCTCATTAATATTTGAATAACTTGGTTTTTCTCCCAGTTTTAATCATTTCTCCTAAATTTATGTAGGTTTGAGTGTGCCTGTTTCAGGTAACAGAAAATTGATATCGCGCATGTTTCCTCGCGAGACTTGCGTATTTCTTTAATAACATGGCTTGATTTATGGTTAACTTGACCACGTTACATCGACTGGACATATTAAGTGGGTGTGGTGGAGCGTAGGGGGCAACTGCAGGCACACCTGGGGGTCATAAAATTGTAACCCTCCTGGATGGATCGCTGTAGAGTGAATCAACAAGAAATCCTTCATAACAACAGTCTCGTAGATAGTGATTTACCTCATCGTTAAAATGAAACAGTGGAAGAGTTTTAAATATATTTTTAGAATTATTTTATTAAAAATGTTCTAGTATTGACTCAATTTGATCTTTATTAATATGTATTTGTTTATTTTTGGATCACTGTCCCCGTATGGTCGAGGGTAGACCTCAGTAATCTAAACCCTGAGTGATATGGATCTATCTGCCAGTGTGATGCCCCTCCTTTTTCTCTCTTACTCCCTCTCATGCACACTTTTTGCTGCTAACACTGAGCGGGAGAGGACTGGAACATTGAGTACCTTCAGCACATTTTTCACATTCCCCTTTGAGGGTCTCAACTACAGCCCCCACTGCATGCACACACTTCAGCATACACAACCACTCGTGTTTCTCACCAGTGGGCATTAATGGTATTGTCATATGTTTTGTCTGTACCACCAATTGAGGACACGTCAATCTTGACACGTGCTTGTCAAAACTGTGTGTCATGTTTATTTTGGTCATTATACTAACCTGCACCTTTTCCTCTCTCCAGCAGCGGTGGTTGTGTGTGAGTGTGTGGTTGAGCTGCAGCTGCGAACATGACGGAGTATAAGCTGGTGGTGGTGGGAGCTGGAGGCGTGGGCAAGAGTGCACTTACCATACAGCTGATCCAGAACCACTTTGTGGATGAATATGACCCCACAATAGAGGTATGACGTGCTTCTACGTGTTCTGTACATTATTCCTGCAGCAGTTATCTTTAGATGAAGTATTTCCCCTTGAACTGTTGTGTGCTTCTGCGACATTCTTTAAAATGGTTCATGTGCAGTCTTTGCGTAATTAGATGTTTTATATAAATGTCCAACCCCACAGTCTAAACCAAGTTACTTTAATTAATTAACTTCTGTGGCAATCCTCCAAATGACAAGGCTTGAAAGAAATCCATAATTTCAGAAAAGAGAAAAGCATTTTCTCCACCTTTTACTCAATATTTTCCTGAGGAAAAAGACACTGGAATATATTGCAGAGCAAAGAGGAAGGCTAGTGAGAATGTCTTCTCCTGTCTTTTCTCCCTCTCTATCCCTCTCTTTCTCACCACGCCTGCCTCTGGCCAGACAATGTCCTTTTTGTGTATTTGCATTCCTGGCCCCTATGCTCTAACAAACAAAGGGACAGCACTCCCATGTTTTTGTGACTGCATGTTGGAAGGCTAAACATTGGCTCTGATACCCTGCTCCTCTGATCTCTTGATTTTCATTTGACCTGAAAGTGAGGAGGGAATTTAACAAAGTAACCTAAGTTGATTACAGTCAAGCAACATTCAGTCACTGACATAGTGTCCCTATAATACACTTCTTTGCCCTGAGTGACCCAGGGTAAGAATCTGCAATGGACCACCGGTTACATTAAGGTGAACTATCAGTTTTGTGTGATGTCTTTAGCACTTCTCTAAAAGTGCAAGTTTGTCTTTTTCTGCAGGACTCATACAGGAAGCAGGTTGTGATCGACGGGGAGACCTGCCTGTTGGACATCCTGGACACTGCAGGTCAAGAGGAGTACAGCGCCATGAGGGATCAGTACATGAGGACGGGGGAGGGCTTCCTGTGTGTCTTCGCCATCAACAATACCAAGTCTTTTGAGGACATTCACCAGTATAGGTGTGTCTAAGAGTAATGCAAAGAAAGAGAACTGGAAAATGTGCACCTCTGTATTTCTTGGCCAGACCGTAGGCCTGTTGGGGTGGAGCTCCGGTGCTAAATCATGTCTGTTAGCTTCTCTGGATGTGCATATGCAGTGTGTGTTAGAGGGACTCCCGTGGGGTCTGCAGGAAAAGGGCTTTATATACGTGTGTGCCAGCTCTCTGCAGTACTTGATGATGTCATGCTGTAGCGTTTAACACGGCTAAAGAAAGCTTAGCTCCCAACTGGAGGCTTACAGCACGATGCCAATGAAATCGATCCTGACTCAATTAGAGAAGCAGGGAGAGGTAGCGCTCCCAAGGACAGGGAAGGAGAAAGGGAGGGTGGGGGTGAGAGTTTCAGCTGGAAGTGACAGTGTTTTCTCTCTTTGCCACATTTTGTCTTTCTCATCACATTAGGCATCCACTTGCTGGTCTTGCATGAGGCTACACTTTAAGTCACAGGTTTCCAGAGTGTGTAAATGTACATTTGTTTGGCCTGTCACCATTGCAACTCAGCTGTTTTGGACCCTGCTTTAGCATAACTGCTCTTAAACCATACAGGTATGCAGTGCACTTTGGCTCAGTGCCCAGTTAAATGTTTTGAGTTATCTAGACATCTGCTGCCTGTATTTACAGGCAACAATTGTTTGTGACAAGAAATAAAACCCACAAAAACTTTCCCCCCCACTATCAGTGCTGACTAGCGCTACATGGCAGAGCAGTGTTCATCCATGTACAAAAACACCAAATAAAGACCAATCCACAACTCTTTAAAGCTAAACTTTAAGCACTCGCCTTAATACCAGGTATACAAGTATCTGTGGTTTGATAGGGTAACTTGTTTGCTTTGACATCAAAACTCAGAGCAAGTGTTGTCATAATTACCATTGGCAGTATTGACTGCAGATGGGTTTGGCTGACTGTACTGCAGGCTATACTGGGGCTGATTGAGAAGAAAGGCTGGGCTGATGGAGTGATCTGACCCTCTCCTCTCACTCAGTCCCCCCTGGCTGCATGGCATTTGGCACTTGCTGCTGTAGTGATGAGGTAATGCTGTTTGCCGCCTGCCTGTTGTCCACCCACCCACCCTCCCTCCCTCGTTCAGCAGTGCAGCACAGCCCAGCACCGGTAGGCACTAGCTCCTCCTCTGGGTCCTAAAGTTCCCCGGGTGGTTGGTTCTCCAGGGGTGGAGCTGTTGATGATGCTGGGAGGATCTCAGCCAACAGACATGTAACTGTGGCTAAATAAAGTGCTTGGATGTATCAAGGAACAAAAATAATAATAAGGAAATGAAATAAACTAAATTTTCAATTTTCTTGTTTTGCAACGCAGAGAACAGATTAAGCGTGTTAAGGATTCCGATGATGTTCCCATGGTCCTTGTGGGAAACAAATGTGACCTCCCTGCGCGCACGGTGGACACGAGGCAAGCCCATGAGCTCGCTCGCTCCTATGGCATCCCCTACATTGAGACCTCTGCCAAAACACGGCAGGTAAGCAGTTTACATAAAGTAAGGAGCAACATAAAGTTTTTCCGCAGAGGAATACTTTTCTCGTGTCCTGCCTCTTTTATTGGTGTTTGAATCTTTAAAATTCCTCATATGCTAATTTTGCAGATAACATAATATGATAATTATGTTATCTGCAGGTTATGTCAGTGTTCTTATTTAGGCTGTGTAATTTCACATTTTGCAAAAATATTCATGCGCATCTTACAGCAGACCATGCGCTATGATGTGATTTGTGTTGCTGGGAACATTTTATTATGCTGCAGGCAGTGACTCATAGCCAGGTTACCTTGGCTTGAGAACAGAGCTACAGTATTTGAAAGGGCTCATAAGGACCAGTTGCCTCACAGCTCCCACTGTCTGTGACTCACTGTGACACATTATGTAGGTACATACATACTCGCATTCATCGCTACACCTGCAGAATATCTGTCACTCAAAAGGAAATGCAAGAAGTAAAGAAATGCAGTCTTTTTAGTCATCATGATTTCTTGACAATGTATTTAATAATTCTCAGTGCACGCAATGATTAAGGTTGTCATGGTAATGTTGCCAATTGGTGAGCACACCTAAAAGCTTTGCTGTCAATCAGAAGACGTGCATTTAATATGGGAGCCTTGAAAGGGAGCGTTTTAAGTGCCTGGATTTTTCTGTAACATTTTTGTGTGTTTGCGTGTGTTTACAGGGAGTAGAGGACGCCTTCTACACACTGGTTAGAGAGATCAGGCAGCATAAGTTGAGGAAGTTGAACCCACCCGATGAGAGTGGTCAAGACTGTATGAGCTGTCGCTGTGTGGTGTCGTGATGCAGGTGAGAAATTATATACACAGTAATGGTCACCAAATCAGTTTGCAAAGCTAAGTTGTGAATGCATGGAATGATGGAATTCACTGGCTTTGGGGAGGGTTTACCTTTAAAGGGACATATCATTACAAGTTAATACAAAGTTGTTCACCTTTATCCTGTTAGGGTGGGAGCTGGCCTCTTCCAAGCCCCCAACCATAGAGTACAAGCAGCCACTGATTGATGAGTATGAAAATGATGTTATATGCTATTGTAACTGAACATGTAAGGGAGATTTTGGACTGATATGTTAGGTAGCACCAGAGTCACACATAAATTTTGGAAATATTTTCTCAGAGCTCCAGAGCCTGAGCGATCAAAGCACATGGTAGCCCAAAGCTCTATTGCAGGGGTATCAAAAATACAGCCCAGGGGCCAGAACTCACCCACCAAAGACTCCGATCTGGCCCACAGGACAGCTTTGGAAAGGCCATATATTTTGAAGTTTTACCATTTTTCCTTCCGATAAAAAACTTCATATTACACTAAAGTAATTAACAAATAGGTGAGCATTTAAATAAGAAAATGTCTATGATTTTTCACCATCTACAATATAAAATTCCATTGTAGATAGTCCTTTTACAATAAAAAAGGCAATGAGCTACTTTTTCTGTAATTTAATACATTTATTACTTATAATTTAGTCCCAAAGAGTCATGCTGACAGATTTCTTTCATTTACTATAGAATTATTTCTTTATCATGCAGAGAAACTGAGACATAGTACTTGCAATGGCAGAAAGGGGTGCTTCACTGGTCTGGCCCACTTAAGGTCAAACATGGAAAATGAGCTTGATATCTCTGTTCTGTTGGTTTCACCATTCATTTGTTGACCACCTGTAACTCTGTGTAGATGATGCTCATTGTAAAAAAAAAAAAGCACTTTTGAAACAATCTGAGTTTTAAAACTTTAATTATATCTTGTGTCACTTTCTTTGCCCAGCTCACTGCTACATGTTGAGAAACGCTACGGCACAAAGTGGCAGCATGGACTTAAGGACTGGAAGATGAAACAACCCAACGATGAAAACAAAAACTTTTCCAACAAAAGGATGATTGAAACAAAAGCCCTGACAGAAACCATCAGGGCTGACTGAACTATAGACTTGTATGGAAAGGGGAATATTGGACAGTTGCCTAAGTGGCTAGCGGAACTAGACTGGTCCAGCCCCATCTTTTTTGTTGGTCCACATCGACCTGTGAGCAACACCACTAATGACTCTTTGTCAGCTGCAATGTGGCATCGCTGGGTAGCTCCACAACTTTCCTGCTAACTTATTGTTTTCAGTCTCAACACTGGTAATTGGGGGGGCGGGTATCTCACCTCCGCCCTCCTTAAAAGCCTGATTCCACTCCCCATCCCCCACCTAGCTGCTGGAAGGAATGAGTGACTTCAGTGGAAAGAACTGGAATTGACTTTTAGTTAACCCAACACCTCTCATGCTAACCCATCCCATTCCCGCTTCACCCTACCTGCCTTTGGTTTCTTTTGAATGGCAATGAAATCCCTGCGCTCTAACTGGATACAGGGGGTGGATGCTGACATGGGAAAGACTGTATTTTTTGTTGTTTATCAATTAGCCTACCTGTAAAATAACAAAAAAAAAAACTTTGATTTTTGTATTTGATATGAAACATTTATTTTTGATTGGCAGTTTTGAAAGTGCTTATTTCAGCTGGCACCTGGTTTGACATTTTTTTGACCTGCCTGAGGTAGTTCAAGATCCTTTTGGACTAGATCTCTTGAATGGAGAATTTCTAGATAGATGGCTTACCGCTGCCTTCTCTCTTTACAGATGTTTCATTGCGAGTCGTCTTGTGGAATAATAATAGTAATGGTTAGTGTACGTAGATTCTGGTGCAATAGAATAATTTACTTTCCAAATTACAAAGTATAGGGAATATACCCTCTGTCATGACTACTTATTTTTCTGCTTTACTTTTTGTTTAAGAAGGAGAGGTACCGTGCATGAAAATGTAGTTGTTGTTATTTTTGCAGTTGCAAAAGCACGATAGGTTGCCTGTAGAATGGGATAAATACCTTAAAGTTGGCAGCGAGTCGATTAAAAAAAAACAAAACAGCAATGCAAAAAGTCTCTGCATTTCATTTTAGTAGCTGTATGGTGTACAACAGCTATTTTTAGATTGCAAGAATCACTCCTTGTGGACGAAAAGGCTCAGGAATTGGTGTCCCGGAGGATATCTATCAGTCCAGGAAACCAGGGTTAATAGATGTCATAAGTTAGTTTTTGCAAAGTGTAATGCACAAGTCCTGCCTCAGAGTAAAACTTCAGTTTTTCCACACACCAGACTATCCTCACACTGCTCTGCTTTATCTGCCACTTTCAGCTTTTCAAAGGAACAATATCAAGTCAGGTGCTAGTCATGTCAGAACCATATTTACTGTATATGTGGGACTATTGTGTGTAACAGGTGTAAGGAGCGGGATATGGGAGTGCATTGTTTTGTGTTTCTTATTACAGACAGGCTTGTGCGCTCCGTAACCGGATTAATTTGCTGCCTGAATAAAAAGACTGATGTGTGTTTACTTTGCCTTATCTGTTAGCTAGGTCGTACCTCATGTGTGCAGCGAGATGGTCATCTGTTCAGTTTGCTGAATTGTTTGTTTGTTTGTTTTAACTATGTGTGCAAAAAAAAAAAAAAGACACGAGTGTGTTGACTTTCGACATGCGCTGTACAGAATTTGAAAGACAGGTCCCTAAAAACACTACACAGACGGGCTTTTCTGTAGTAATGAACTTTAGAGAGAACCCAGCATAAGCCAATTTGTCATAATCAAATATTCATGACATTTCAGTTCTATCACATTGGAACATGTGATAGTGATTTGACTAAATTGTTGCATTTAGCACAGATTATATCTAGATTATAGTAGTTCACTGAATTGGGCATGTGTCGAAATGTGCCGAGTCCTAAACACTACAAGCCTGTTGCTTCAAATCCAAAGCTCTGATGTAACAGATGACAAACTTTATCTGGCCATTGTCCTTCTTTTAAAGGAAACAGTGTTTTTATTTTTTGACCTAATTGATATTGTACATGCAAATGAACTCTCTTTCACTCTCACCATTGCTTACAGAAATATGACCAGTCTAATTACTGTCTGGATGATGGTGGTCAGGTTTTGTGTTCTTTTCTCTGCTTGGAGGAAGGATATGAACTGTGAATGTGTTTGACTCTCTTGATACTGTTTGAAAGAAGCCTCGATTTTACAATTTATATTGCTTACATTATTTGAGGGATAATCGTAGGGGCCCTACTTTTGGCTGTGTTGTACCCAGCTTTTATTTTTCATCCACTGTACTCAGACATTTCAATGGAAAAGGAGCGTGGAGTTTGTAGTATGTAATTACAGTCCTTGTGGTATCCTTGTTAATCTTTAAACAGTACATCCGTGATATAATAATACCATAGAATTTCACAAATCTATGCATTCAGATTACCATTGCATTAGAAAAAGCATCATGTTGTCGCAATACTCAGCCAGTGAACCACCAGTATACATGTCTGAAAACCTGGCGAGCATGACAAAGACTTTCAGGACCATTGGGGGTTTTGCACAAGGATTCGGTGGGCTCAAGGGCTTGTTTGTCCCCTTGCAGACTGTGGAATGGGTGCGTGGATGGATTTTGTGAAAAAAATGTCAACTGTTTAGCTATTTAAGATGTATTTACTCTTTGAAAATGTGGCAAATGTATTGCAGGACAGGAATAAAGATGTCAAGATCAAACTGCTTTGGTCCACTCGCCACCAAACTTTTGTTCTTAAGTTTGTGATTTGCTTCCCCCTGCAGGCTACTATGTGTATTCTGCCGTGAAGTTGAAGGACTGGGACAGCTTTGGTTTAAAAAAAAAAGACAAAAGTAACTATTGCTTTTGTCTTATAATAAAAGCTGATGACATATATAGATATTCTTGATAAATGTTTCATATTTAACTGCTTATAAGGAAGAGTCCTAGTGTACAACAGCATGAGGCCTATATAATGTGAGAAAATACAGCTCTGATAAGGGGTTCAAAGGGCAATCATAAACCCTGTTTACACATGACTCTACCATAAAACACTGCAGTGACAACAAATTTAATATTGCACAACTGAACATTAATGTGTAATGTGTAGTTTTTAAAACCCTTCAGGATGGTTAGATGTTAGAAGAAATTAAAATATTACATTTAAGTTATAGTGATAACAAGCGATAGGGCCCTACATTCATTAATGAAAACTGGGCGGTGACCATGTAGTGAATAACGGAGCAGGCTTTCAAAAGAAGCCTTGGTTTAAAAAAAAAGTTTGATTGATGTGGGATTCACACTTGTTAGTTATTTGGCTTACTTTGCAACTGAATTCAATAAAAGTCAGCAATAGTGGGTCAGGCTTGTGTATTTCAGTCACCTCCAGCATCTGAAAAAGAAGGAAGGACTAAACAAGGAACATTGTATAGTATAAGAAAATCACTGAAGTGTATTACGTATTTCCCAGTTTCACATGAGTAAATGGTATCTATGATATTAAATTAGCTCAACTACAGGGAGTGCAGAATTATTAGGCAAATGAGTATTTTGTCCACATCATCCTCTTCATGCACGTTGTCTTACTCCAAGCTGTATAGGCTCGAAAGCCTACTACCAATTAAGCATATTAGGTGATGTGCAACTCTGTAATGAGAAGGGGTGTGG